TCTGGAGAGATGTGTAGAGCAACCCTTTTACTCTTAGAAATACACAAGTTTGGGGACTTTCCTGGTGGTCCAGTGGCTAAGGCTCTGTGCTTCCAATGAAGGGGGCCCAGGTTCAATTCCTGGTCAGGGAACTGGATCCCACGTGTGGCAACTAAGGGTTTGAATGCCGAAACTAAAGATGCCCCATGATGCAACAGGGCCCAGCAGAGTCAAATAAATAATTTTTGTTAGTTCCTTAAAAAAACAGTACCCAACGGGTTTTTTTTAAAAAATGATATGGATAGTAAATGATATGGTCTAGTCTACATGATCAGAACTCACCTGAGTGGTGGCAAGCAGGGGTAGCCCCCAGCCCACTGCTCCTTTTAGTATGCCCTGAGGAAATAGAAATATAAAGGGATAGAGGGAGATGACACACACAAGAAAATGAACTCACTTGGGAATTCCCTGTGAACCAATGGTTAGGACTCTGCACTTCCATTGCAGGGGCCCTGGGTTCGATCCCTGGTCAGGGAACTAGGATCCCAACAAACCACACAGCCAAGCAAAACAAGACAAAATGATTCCACTTGGGTTTCTGCTCAAGAAAATCCTGCCTGAGTCCTTCTAAAAGTAAGGAGCCTTCTGTGAAGCAAATAATATGCCCCCATCTCTCATCAAAGATTCCATTTTGTACTGCATAACTTTTACACTGTTTTTAAAAAAAACAAAAACAAAAAAAGCATGACACTCATTTAGCTGAAAAGCAAGATGCAGAGGGGTATACAGTGTGTTTCAAAAGAGGGAAGATCTATATCCATCTATAAAAAAAATACTACCAGATGATAGGTAAGAAATTAGTAGTTATCTCTAGCAGGGAAAATTGGGCAGGGGCAGGGTTGATGATAGACTTTTTAAAAATACATTTTGAGGGCTTTCCTCGTGATCCAGTGGTTAAGACTCCACACTTCCCATGCAGAGTACATGGGTTCAATCCCTGGTCAGGGAACTAAGACCCCACATGACACAGAGTGAGACCAAAAAAAAATTTTTTTAATGCCTTTCATGCCCCTAAGCAGCCTACTGATGCAAAAACAATGCCCAAATTTTGCCTCAGAAACTCAAACTCCTCTTCCTTCTGGCCACCTCCCTGCAGCCTGTCTCTCCCACTCCTCTGCCTCCTGGCTCCAGCTGAAGTCTCAGGCTCCGGACTCCGGTCCCTGACAAGTAGGCTGTCTTGTGACTTTCAGTCTTACCAGACAAACTGTTTTAACTTCTTTTGTTTGGGTAGAAAACTAATTGGATACCGTCGTTCTCTACTTAGGGGCTCTTAAAACATGGAAAAATGTTATTCCCCACCAGAGCTGAATCTACCCTGAATTTTCTAGAGGTGTATCACACACACATGTAAGCACAGAACCTCATCAGGAGACTCAGGATTGAACCATAAGTTTGATTTGAAGGACCACAGACACCATAATTGAGTGCCCTGTGATGGAAAAACACGGGTGGTTGGGGGGGCGGGGGAGGGATTTGTTTATGCTTTGAAATGGAATGGCACATCAAAAAATTTCTTGTTGGACTTCCTTAGTGGTCCAGTGGATAAAACTCTTGTGCTTCCAAGGCAGGAAGTACAGGTTTGATCCCCAGTTAGGGAACTAAGCTCAGTGGTAAAGAATCTACCTGCAATGCAAGAGCAGCAGGAGATGCAAGTTCGATCCCTGGGTCAGGAAGATCCCCTGGAGGAAGTATTCTTGCCTGGGGAATCCCCATGGACCCAGGAACTTGGCAGACTACAGTCCATAGGGTCCCAAAGAGTCGGACAGGACTGAAGCAACTTAGCATGCACACTCAATAGCTTCCAAATGGTGCCCTGTGGCTCCATAGGAACCCCTCACGGACATCCTGAGTGCCTTCAAAACTCCATGCCTCCACTTCTTTTCTTTTTTTTTCCACTTCCTTTTCCAACCAGATCATACACAACTTTCGTCCATTTCTGAAATGGGCTTCTATATGTGAGGCTCATGAAGAAAAGCTTCCTTTATTTAAACTAAAGACAAAAGTCTAGAAGCCACTGCACTAGGTAACCAGTCAGTTCCTTCCAGGCAAATTCAATGAAGCCATGTTCCCTGCCTCCCTCTCTCTAGCAAAACAGTAGCAGAATTTCTTCATGTGGGAATTTCACTTGAATAAACTCCTGGTGAGAACAAGAAGATGGACATCTAATCTGAAGCTATTTGTTGATAGATGCTGGGTTCAAGGGAAGACCCTCTGGAGGAGGGCATGGCAATCCACTCCAGTATTCTTGCCTAGAGAATCCCAAGGACAGAGGAGCCTGGTGGGCTACAGTCTACGGGTGGCAAAGAGTTGGACACAGCTGAGGTGACTTAATATGCACACACACACGTTGGGTTCAGAGGAAGCTTCCCTTGGGCTCAATCATAACTCTAATATAACTAGGAAAGCACATGAGGTGCCTGCACCCAATTCCATCCACAGCAGCCCCACCCAGGGATGCGGCTCACCTGGGGGTGGCAGAAGGCCAATTGCTCCTACTGTTACAATCAATCCTTGATTTGCAGGTAAAGAGAAACAGAACATTAGGTGATCAAAAATGACCTGTTGCTAAATCACCTCTGGGAATCCATTAAGTGCTTTTTAAAAATTTTGGGGTATGCTGAATCTTTATTACTACACTCAGGCTTTCCCTAGTCGCAGTAAGTGGGCTTCTCATTGTATTGGCTTCTCTTACTGCAGAGCATGGGCTCTCGAGTGCATGGCCCAGAAGTTGTGCTCACGAGTTTAGTTGCCCCTTGGCATGTATAATCTTCCCGATCCAGGGATCCAACCTGTGTGCCCTGCGTTGGCAGGTGGATTCTTAACCACTGGACCACCAGGGAAGTCCCACAAAGTGCTTTCTTGAGCACGTACTGCCATTTTACCAGTGAGGAAAGTGAAGGTTGAAAACACAAGGTAACTTTCCTAAGTGAGTAAATGACAGAATCAGATTTTTTTAGTTGTATTCTTAAATTGTGAAATAACCCCATGGAATAAAACATAAATGCAGGCCACAATGCAAAACTATTAAGCAAAGTAAAGTGTAAGTCACTCAGTCAAGTCTGACTCTGTGACTGTATTGTACATGGAATTCTCCAGGCCAGAACACTGGAGTGGGTAGCCTTTCCCCTCTCCAGGGAATCTTCCCAACCCAGGAATTGAACCCAGGTCTCCCGCATTGCAGGCAGATTCTTTACCAGCTGAGCCACCATTAATAAGCAAAAGCCTGTGTAAATTCCACCCAAGTCAAAAAACAGAATGTTGCCAGCATTCAAGAAACCACTCTCCCACCCACCCCCAGCTTGGGTCTCTGCTCCGTCCTGCTTCACTCCCTCCCCAGAGGTAAATGCTGTCCTGACTTTAAATTATTTTCTTGCTTTTCTTTATAATTTAACCACCTGTAGGTGCACAAAGCCAGGATTTCTACTCAGGTCTGTAAAAATCCAAAGTCTATGCTCTTAACCTCAAGATGTTTCAATAATGATCCTTAAAGTCTTAGAGCCTTAAAGTCTCACTTGTTTCATATTAATAATGACCCCAGCTTTCTCTGGGTTAGTTTTGCCTGGTATCTCTATCCTTTTCCTGCCTCAGTAGCAGACTTAGAACATCTTTCTACAAATATTTTTGTGGACTCTTAACCTATTTACAGTCATTGATAGTTTTTAATTCTGAAACACAAGACTAGGGAAAAATAAGAGAAAACTAGGAGATGTGAGTCTACGTCCTAAGCCAGGCCTCCGGCTTGACTCATATCTCGGGCAGCTGCATTTCTATACAAGGAAAGACTGCAGCTGGATTTAGATACATTCATACACTTCATCAACATAACACTCACAGGTAGGATATGCGTAACAGGAGCTGAATAAGAAAGCTGTTTAAGACTCACAGACTTAACAGACTTGTGGTTGCCACGGGGGCGGAGGGAGGCGGAGGATTGGGAGGTTGGGATTAGCAGATGCAATCTATTATATATAGAACAGATAAAGAGCAAGGTCCTACTGTGTAGCATAGAGAACTATATTCAGTATCCTGTGACAAATCATAATGGAAAAGACTATGAAAAAGAAGGTATAGTTTGTATAACAGAATCACTCTGATATATAGCAGAAATTAACACAACACTGAAAATCAACTATACTTGAATAAAATTTTAAAAAAAAAGAAAGCAAGCTGTTTATTCACAAAGATGCTGACTACATAAGCACACTGGAATACACTGCATAAATTCGTCACTTGTCATATAAATATACATGGTACCACAATCATTTCAAGTCAAACTATTTTATTGTCCAAGAGACTCCTTCTGTGGTCTCAGGAGGCCCGCTGTCAACGGAGGACCAGCGGGGCACCCGAGTCCTCACTCCTCTGCGCTCTGCGTGCTGATGTAGTCCTGGAGAAGCGCCTGCACCTCTGCCCGCCGGCTCATCTTGGTGGCCTTGCCCTGAAAGCGGCCTTTCTTCCCAGCGCCCTTGCCTTCCAGCACCTCAGCTACCCTGGGGAGCAGAGAGACGGGTCAGGGAGGGGTGTCTCTTAGGGGAAAGTCACGGGAAAAACCAGGTAACCCCTGAAGCTTTCCTCGCGGGCTGAGGGGGAGGGAGAGAAAAAGTAGGCGGCTTCTAGAAATAGTTGTATGTGGGCACAAAGATACACGCAGCATGTTGATAAGAGTGAATAACTAGAAACAACAGAAGTGCCTAGAAATGGGCTAGATTACAGCAACCTCCAGGGAGCAGGGCAAGCATAATTAAGGGTAAAGAGCTGAAGGGTAAAGAGCTGTAGACACAAAGGCCTGTGGGAACAGCAGTGAGTGAAGCAACTGGGGCTGAGTGAGAAAGGTGGGCCAGCGGCACTGGCTGAGCCTATGGTGTCTGAAGAGGCGGCCGGCACCTACTTCCTCACAGATGCTACCCTGCAGGAATGTGGACACAGAAATGCCAGAGCATGCCTTTTCCCACCCCCACCATTTTTTAAAAACCTAGAACTCTATATACATTTTTAAGAAAAAAATCTCCTAATTTTAAAAGGGAGCAACTAATTTTGAAAATTTAAAATAGTACACAGGCCAAACCAGTCTATAGGCCTCACCTGGCTGTCAGGAACCTCTGCTCTAAACACTTCTGTTTTCCTTTATGTTTTACAATGAACATGTATTCATCAGAGCCCATCAAGGACTTCAAAAACCCTAAATGCCACAAAGAACATGACATACTCCACCTTCCATAGCTAATTTAAAATAAAAAAATACAAAAAATAAAAGTCTAACACAATTCTAACTTTTCTATAATAACTACATCAATGCCTTTTTTGATTCAGTTTCAAACTCCTAATTTTTTCCCCCAAGTTTGCCAATATCTTGTGGATGCCTTAGCACCTGTTTCATCTGCCTAGGGAGAATCCAAAACCTATATTCAAGCATCACTTATGAATCTCAATTTCTAAAAGAAAAAACACAAAGTACATTAGATTTGGAGACAAAAAGTCCTGGGCTTGAGTCTCAGTTCTCTCACTTTAACCATGAGATCTGAAGCACAGGACGTGCTGTCCCTCATATAGAAAAGTGCGAATGATGGTGGTGATCAATTTCTGCTCAGCCAACCTCACATGGCTGTGATCAACCTAAGATGCAGACACAGTGGCCCTTTGCATTCACCAAGGGCTGTGTTAGCAGGTTAGGCTTACAGGCTCTCCCACCCGCACATAGCTGTCCACAGTTAATCACCTAGGCCCCAGGGTCTCCACGGCCTCAGCTGGTCCTGCCAGTAAGAAGAGTCCAGCACCTTTCTCATCGCCCACAGTTAAGAAGAGGAGGGTCTCCTAGGATGGAAGACAAGAAGATCAGCCCTGATACTTAAAGACACGCAGTCAGTCCCCTCTAAACTGCACTCTTTTCAGCCTCAAGAACACATTTTTATCATATTGCAATATATATCAACACACTGTACATCTTAAGACAATGTGATATGTCAACTGTACTTTAAAGAAAAACAGCTTTTCCCTCTAAACCACAAGTGATGTTCCTGATGAATGATAAGACAGCCCCTCCACTATGGGGCCCATAAGGGACAAGAAACTTTGACAATGGCTTTAGGAACTCAGGTTGAACATTAAGTAGGGGGCAGAAGGCTGCTGACCATGATCAAGGATGAAATGCCTTTCATGATCTGACTCTGCCAACCTCTGGAGCCTGGCCACCCCACTGCCCTCCTACACTGTGCCTGCCACTGCCTAAACCTCCATGTTTCCCTCAGCCTGGCCGCCCTGGTTCCTGTGTCTGCCGACTCCTAAGCAGTCTTCTAGGCCCCTCCCCTAAAGCCTCCTTAGTCTGACAGAGAATGCACTCCTCTCACTCTAGCATCAACCACCCTAAATTACAAAGATCAGCATACATAGCTATCTTCCCAAATAAAAGTGAGCTCCTTGAGAATCTGTACTCTCTACACAGAATTATGAAGAGAGATGTACACACTGCTTGGCCCAGAGTGACTACTTCAAAGAGTATTTTTGGAGTAAGGGCAAAAGAGAGACCTGGAAAACACTAAACTCTGGACAGTCAGGACTGGGACGAACGCCTGAGGCTAGAGGCAAAGGTCAACAGAAGGGATGGCCTTCTAAGGACCAAGCCAACCCCCATATTTCTGAAATCAGGCCCTTGGCACACATAAATATGGGTGGTATGGAGGAATTCCATTTCTGATAAAAGGAGCTCCAAAGCTGGTAAATGTCACAGTCCCAGAAAGGTCAATACCACTGATCAAGTCTGACACCTAAAACAAAGCCTGGCTCATGGTTAGTGTTGAGAAAATGGCATTGAATGAATTTCTGTTTCCTATTCTCCATATGTTCATGAGGAAGACCCCTTGCAAGGTCTCCAACTAGGGTGGACAAAGAACCTCACGCTCCTCTTACCTCTGGCCCAATCTCATTGGCGATGATATTCATGAACTCAGAATCGCCATCCTTCCTAAAACAAAGGGCACAGACGTGAGACCCAGGCTGCAAATGGAGCTGGGAAATTGCAGGAGGCCCAGCTCCTCCTACTGGCCTCCCCGCTGCCTTTCCTGCAAAGTGCCAAAGAAAGAGGGCAAATGGAGGGCCAACCCAAAGTCCTTCTCGGCCTGAGCACGTTACAATAAGCTTTGCTTTACGTTGTTTCTATTTCCCTTAAACAGGATTCTCCCAGGTAAGTGGAGAATTGTTAGATGGTGAAGGATCTGAGGCAAGGTGCTAAGAAAGTTACATGTGAAGATGTTTATATCAAACCCAGGAAACCTGGAAAGTAACACATTACTTAGGGTCTTCTCAGTCTTGAGAATACCATGGGGGTGACCCGCCTCCCACTCCTGCACTCTACGCCGGGAAGAGGCTGAGCCCGAAGCCCAGCACCCCCGGCCTGTCTCACCTGTGTAATGTGATCACACCTCCACAGTCCGGGCTGTTCCTAAGGCTGTGGGCAATGTGCACAGCCAGGTCTCTGAGCAGATTCAGGTTGTTCTGAAATGGACACTGTCACTCAGTCATCGGGTGGGGAAAGGGTAACCAGAGGGAGTACCGTCTCCCTCTGCCCCTCACTGCTGCCACACTGCACATCCGGTCAGGTGAGGGGCTGAGTCTGGGAGCCTGTTCAGGCAGAGCCCACGCCTTTCCACCCTCCATGGATAAATCACCTTCTGCAGGAGCTTGCTGGAATTCTGCAGCTTCTTCACTGCTTCCACGTGGTCCTCTGCTCCACACCTGCAGGAGAAAGGTTCGTGGAGGCCTCCCCAGTTTCCCAACTGCTTCTGGTGTTGGGCGTAAATCAACAATGCCCCTCTTGATGGTGTGTCTCCCTCCAGATGGGACTCGGGGACATTTTGATGAGGCCTCAGAAGGTTGAGGGGAGAGGATATAAAGGAAGAAACCATTGTGTGTGCATCTGGCTAACTACCCAAAGCGCTGCAGCATTTGTGACCGCATCGCACCTCCCAGAGATAAGAGTATTCTGTCTCCTGTACGGGTGGGCATGCTACACTCTGGCTGCCCAGGAGCTGAGAGTCGAGCCCGGGAAGGGGGCGTACGTACTTCAGCAGAGCTGTGAGCGCCTTCTCAGTGCCATGACTCCTCTCCATCCACTTCAGCACCCGGTTCCCAGCCAGGAAGATCAGGTTGGTTTTGTTCTTTTTCCCTTTCTCAGTGCCCAGAATTTTAATGACCTACATGAGGCAACAAGGTAACATACACATGTATACATGGGTAAGCCACAGCAGGTGCTGGACCCGAGGGTAAGAGAGACCAAGACCTCCCCAAACAGCTCAGGAGCAATAATGGAGTGACTTCACTCAGGACCCCTCGGGTGTCCCCTCCATCACTCCCAGCCCTGCTGTGATCCCCCACCCCTGACACCCTCTCTCCCACACATTCAAGAACCCTCTCTCACCTACCTGAAGGTCACTGAGATTGCTCACATGAGTCCCGCAACACATGTTGGAATCGACGCTCTTGATGGTAACAACTCGAATAGGCCCAGCGTGATCATCCGGCAAACCCCGGCCCCTCACCTGGAACGTGAGGAAAGGAGGAGGGCTGTCTGAATTTTGATGAGGAGCCCTCAGGTGGGCACTCTGCAGAAGACACCCCGCTGGCTCCCCCCTTACCTGCTCCACCTCTGGATCATCCAGGCTCAGTTCTCGCACGTTTACTGGCAGCCGATCTCGGATTTTTTCATTGACACTCTGTTCGATGGCAGCTACTTGCTCTGCGGTCACAGAGGGGCTGTCCAGCTCAATGACACTCCGGAGTCGCCCCAACTCCCTGCCAGAAGTAGAGTGGTCACAGGATGCTGACGGGGACGATGAACAGTGTAAGGAAGAGTATCGTTTACAGAGCATGTTCATATAAATGCTGTTATTGACTCCTCACAGAAATGTTGCAAGGCAGGGACTGTCACTTCCATTTTACAGGTGAAGGGGTTAATATTAAGGAACATGATCAAGGTCATGCAGCTGGGATTCACCCTCCAGGTCACTGGGCTCCACCCTCTAGGTCACTGGGCTCCAAATTCTATGTTCACTCCTAAGCAAAGGCAGATGTTTCTCAGGGGGAAACAAAGTCATCCACCACCCCATCTTCACAGGGACCAGGTGGGCAAAGCAGATTTTTATTTTTCTGCCCCTGACCCATGAGGAGCTGGCAGTCAGGGACCCATGCTGGACAGTCCCCTGCTCACCATGATGTTGTCTTCAGCCCAAAAAGATCATCAGCAACTGCAGTGATGAGATGCTGCCCTGAACAGAGAGAGGAGACAGGAGAAGAGTAAGGAGCCCAGGCAGTCACACAATCCTCATGTCAATGTCATCCCAGAAATTCTGCTGAAGACCTGCTGGACATTGAGTAATACTCTCGAAAGATACTTTATTGAAAATCCTCAGGAGAATTCTGCAAGAAGCTTTATGATGCCATTTCATGAATGAGGAAATCGAGGCCTAGAGAGATCAAATAAATGACTTGCCAAGGCAATGTACCTCGTCAGAGGCAGGATTTGAACTCAAGTTCTCATTGAGCCACATCCATTCATTTGACAAAAAGAAAATCTTTTAGGCATGTTTTTTGTTTTGAATTTTTGTATTTTCCTGGCCTTACTGCACAACTTACAAGATCTCTCAGTTCCCCAACCAGGAACTGAACCTGGGTCACGGCTATAAACCTGGAACTCTCACCAGTAGGCCACCAGGGAACTCCCCATTTGACAGAAATTTATCAAGTGCCTACACATACAAGGCACAGGGCTTGGTACTAGAGCTATGGTGCGATCCCTGATCGATGACAGTGAGGAGGAAACAAAGCAAGAGGAAGAGAAGGGCCAACTGTGAAAGCAAAGGGAACAAGACAGCCAAAGGCCCTGAAGGAGGAAACAAACAGGGTATATTGAAGAAATCAAGAGAAGGCCAGGATGCGGATAGTGGGAAGCAGGGGCACTGGATGAGGCTGGAGCAGTAGAAAAGCAGCAGCCCAGGCCGGTCTTACAGCCCATGACAAGATGTTTGGCTTTAGCTGAGCTACAGGCAGCCTCTGAAAAGCTTGAAGGCTAGGAGTTGCTTGATCAGATTTTAAGTTTTAGATTATTCTGGCTGCTTTGTGGATAATGGGCTGCAAAGTAGCAAGACTGAATGTGGGGAGACTAACCAAGAGACTATTACAGAGGGTTGGGGAGAGATGGCGAGAGGTGGGACAAAGACAATGGCGTTGACAGTGGAAGTGGGCAGAGAAGTATTGAGAAAGTAAACTGTCAGAATGCAGACTGACTGGCTATCCCTAAAGACGGGTCTGAACAGACTACCAGGATTCAAGCGACCGGGTGGATGCTGATACCATGCACTGAACCTAAGAGGTGAACGGAAAACCAGATCAAGGGGAGGGGGTGGCTTTTCAATTCCATTTTGGACATTTTGAGTTTAAGAAGGCTATGAGACATATCCAGATGAAGACATCCAGTGGGAGTTAGTAATACTTAAATCCAGCAGTTATTCTAATACTTTAACTGCTCATCTTGGAGGGTTTTTTTGACTGTGCTATCTTCGTTGCTCTGCGTGTGCTTTTTCTAGTTGTGATGAGCAGGGGCTACTTTCCAGTTGTGGTGCCCAGGCTTACCCACTGCGACAGCTTCTCTTGTTGCAAAGCACAGGATCTAACATGTGTGAGCTTCAGCAGTTGCAGCACAGGGTTCAGTAGCTGTGGCACACGTAGAATCTTCCTGGACCAGGGACTGAACCTATTTCCCCTGCACTGGCAGGCAGACTCTCAACCACTGGACCACCAGGGAAGTCCTGCTCATTTTGCTTTTATAACATTTATCACATCTTGCCAGAATCCTGATTCTGAATACGTCTGTCTCTTCTAAAAGGTTAGCTCCTGGAGAACCCACACATCTCAATCATCTTGACATTTCCAAACAGCAACTGCCCCTGCTAGAGGTGTCCCATCCCACCCATCTACCTGAATGCTGCTGCATGTGGTCAAACCTCCGCTCCCAGTCCACCCGGACTTGAACCTCAGTCCCAGGGGTCAGGGGTGTCTGGGTGAAATGATCAGCCTGGGTGCCCCGGCGAGTCACTCTCAGCACAGAGATGTCATTGATTGTACCACGGTCATCAGGCTGCGTAAACAAATAAAGATAATCAGTGGTGGCAGGCAGGGCTCACCTAACTCCTGAATTAAAGACTCTCCAGGGCAAGTATGTGAAAAACACACCCAGAATTTGAGATTCTCTAAGGGAGAAAGGCAATGCCAAGTGAGGTGGTTCATTTTGCTCCAGGAGGGGACTATCTCTGTCCTCTTCACTCTGAACACCTGTATATCTTGGTCTTCAGAACAGAATAACAGAATTAAACGCTGTAACTATAGCAAGGAAACTTTTAGTAAAACCCAAAGAAACTTAATCCTCACTCTCATTGCTTGGTTTAGATTCTTCTCTTTCAATAGTTTCTAAAATGATCCGAATTTTTCTCCCTTCTTCCATTCTATCTTCTTCACTGCTACTAGAATTAAACTATAAAAATATGAAGTATTAAAAAATACAACTGCTTACAAGATACTGTGACTGCCCAAGAATACAATGTAAATAAGACATGGTCCCTCGAGCAAATGAAGAGCCTGGAAAAGATACAGACATGCCAACGGTAAGACACGGTCCCTCATGCAACTGAAGAGTCTGCAAAAGAAACAGACATGCCAACAGGCCATTGCAAAATGACCTACAGCCTGCTACAGTTCAAAAAAGTACACTGTTCTAGAGAAGCTCAAAAGAAAGGGTCCTAACAATCTTGGAAAATCAGGGAAGACTTCCTGGAAGGGGTGGTATATAAAATGAGACCTACTATGAATACTGGATGTCACAGGTTTTCCTTCAGCAGATCAGAAAACTTCTACACTGGCCACTTAGTACATTCTCTCACATAATTTCTTTGCCTAAGTACTTCCATGGCTCACCACAGCTTCCTGAATGAAGTCCACACACCTTAACACATCCTTCAAGGCCCTCTGAAATGCCCCCACTTAGCTTTCCAAAGCCATCTCCAGCCTGTCATCAACATGTACCATAAGCTCCAACTGTATGGGACTGTTTGCAGTTAACCAGACTTGTCAGATTCTTTCAGGCTTCCCTGCCTTCGACTGTGCTACTCTCTCTGCTGGGAAAGCTTCTCCCACAATGCCCACCTTTGAGGTGAGTATCCTCCTTTCTCAAGTTCTCACTGGATCTTGTCCCTACCCCATCACAGTATTGATAAGTCTGCCCTCTCTTGTGCTCCTTCAGAGGAAACTTTTCCCTCTGTGCTAAATATGCTAATGGAATTCCGACCTCAGGTCCTTTGCACTTATTCTCCCTCCCTGGAAACAGTTCCCCTCCCCCACCAGCATCACCAGATGCCAGGAACGGCTTAACACCCACTTCCCTTAGTTCTTGACTAAAGTAACTTGTCCCCTACCTAGGAGATCATCCCATCACTCTCTTTCCCTCAAACTTTAGTTTTCTTCATAGAACTTATCTGAGCTGGTATACTATTTATCTAGTCACCGTTTTGTCTGTTTCCTCCAACAAATACACCATGTAGGCAGAGACACTTTCTCGTTCAACCTTTATCCTCAGAGCCTGGAACAGTACCAAAGAGAATGTGTTAGGGCTAGATAAGTATCTGTTGATAAATATCTGTTGAGTGAACAAATGAGCTGAATTGAGCTAATTTCCAGCTGTATTCATTACAGCTGAGACTGAGAGACAAGAGACACTTCCCACCGGGTGAGAAAGAAACTGAGGGCTTCATGGGAAGGGAGGGGAGGGGAGAGGTTCGAGATGGGCCTGGTACCTGTCCCCCGCCTTCAGGGAAAAGCAGCGTGTCTTCCAGTACCACTTGGAAACCGCTCAGCACTTCCTTCTTGCCGTTGCTTCCTTCGGTGTGCAGCTCCGCGGGACGGCAGGAGACCACAGTGGTGGTGAACTGGGTGGAGACGGATGCAAAAGTAAGCCCCGACCCCAACCCTCAGCGCACCGGACTGAATCCAGCTCGGCGCCCCCTCCACGCGGCGCCCCCTCGCCCCGCACCGCCGCACCCGCTCGGAGCAGCAGGTTTCCCGCCCCGCAGGCCGCACCTCTCTGGAGTAGCTGTCCCGCTGACACAGAAACGCCATCGCTGCTGTCTCCCAGGACGCGGGGATGCGCGCTTACTGAAATGCCCGGCGGCAGACGGAGAGCAAAGCGGGACAATCTTCACTCCGGGCGCGTCTCTGCGCAGGCGCAGCAGGGCAAAGAACGGGATGCGGTTTGAACAAATTTATTCAAAACGCGACGTGCAGGCTCTCGGAATTGTTTAGCGACTATTTGTGAAAAGGACCAGGAAAAAAAAAGACAAAACTGCGGCCTGAACTTGTCGAAGCACTTCGTTTGGCCCCTTTGGACCTCAGGGAGGGACATAATTCAGCCCCGTGGAAGCCCGGTCGATAGAAACGTGGGTGGTACTGGTTTGAATACACAGCAGCGCCGCCCAATGGAATTATAATACAAGCACATATGTTCTTAATATTTTTATTTAAATTATATCTAAATTTTTTCATGTAATGAGTATTTTAAAATGAGTTTCTCCCCCACCCCGTACAAAATTTTCGAAACTTGATGTGTATTTTACACTTACAGCACTTCTCCGTTTGGGATATCAATATTTCAAGTACTCAGTAACCATGTGTGACCATTGCTACCTGATTGGACAGTGCAGCTAGGTTAAAAGAAGTTAAACTGCAATCAGTGTCTTAAAACGTTAAACGAATTAAAAGTTTAGATTAACTTTCTTTCTGCTGTTTTGCTGCTAAGTGGTCAGTCGTGTTGGACTCTAGGACCACATGGATTGTAGCCCACCAGGCTCCTCTGTCCGTGGAATTTTCCCAGGCAGGAATACTGGAGTGGATTGCCATTTCCTCCTCCAGGTTCTGTTCTTTTAAATTAATTAATAAAAAGCTTGAAGTCTCCAGATGCTTCAGAATTTAGGATTTTCCTGATTTTAGGCAGTAATGCAGACCATACCTATATGTTACCTAATGTGTTCCATTTGGAACTCTGGAGCAACCCCCTGTGATCAAATGTATGAATATTTATGCTGAGAAATAAATGTACTAAACCAAATAAAGACTATAAATAGCCTAACATCATTTTAAGTCATGTTTTGATGCCAGATGAGTTTTGGTGTTAATTTTTTTTAACTCATATTTTAGAACTTTTCAGTTTTCAGAATTGTAGGCGAAGAGAGATATGCTATACAAGTTCAGGTCCCAGCTTTGCCACTTACTGTGACCTGTTTGAGCATGATTAAGAAAAGACTTAATATTATACAGTTGATATGAAGTTCAAATAAGATATAAATTTTACTTAGATAATATATAAATACTTAGTCACTCAGTCATGTCTGACTCTTGCAACCCCATGGACTGTAGCCTGCTAGGCTCCTCTGTCCATGGGATTTCCCAAGCAAGAATACTGGAGTGGGTTGCCATCTCCTTCTCCAGCGGATGTCCCCAACCCAGGAATCGAAGTCAGCTCTCGTGAATTGCAGGCAAATTCTTTACTGAGGGAGGTTCTAAAAAGAAACATTAGTCACTAATGAACAATAAGCAATCTCATAATTTAAAGCAAATAAAACCAGGGAATTCCCTGGTGGTCCAGTGGTTAGGATTCTGCACTTTCACTGCTGAAGGCCTGGGTTCAATCCCTGGTCTGGGTACTAAGATCCTGCAAGCCTTGAAGGGCAGCTGGAAATAAATATATCAAGCAAATCAAGCCAAGTATAATTTTATCTTGGCAAATACCTAAAAGGATATGGAGAAGCAGTGGAAGTGATGGAAGTGGTGGTAGAAGTGAAAATCGGTATTTCATCTAAGAACAACTTAGCAACAGCTTTCAAAATGTTTACATATATCTGCTCTTTGACCTAGCAATTTCACTTCTAGAACTTACACTATATGAACTCCTTGGCAGTCCAGTGGTTAGGACTCAGTGGTTCCACTGCCAGGGCCCAGGTTCAATCCCTGGTGGGAGAACCAGGATCCCACCTGGTTCTGGCAGGGGATAGAAGTGGGGGGTGGTGTGGATTTACCCTACAAATGTTCTTGCCAAACATGTAAAGATGTACTTTTTAAACTGTTCCTTGCACCTTCGTGCAAGGAAATTTCAATTTTTACCTTCGTGAAACTTGAAAAAGACCAAATTGATAAGGAACCAGTTAAATTATGGAAAATATGTTCAACTGAATAACATGGAGCCATAAAGAAGAGTCAGATCTATGTACACTGACTTGGAAAGAACTCCAATATATATTAAGTGAAAAAAAGCAGGGTGCAAGATATATATAATAGTGTGATTCCCACTATACACACACACAATGCATTTGCCCATTCATGTGTTAAATTTTAATATATATTGTACTGTATATACACAATACAGAATACTGTATATGTTTCTGTTCCAGATATGTTGTATATTGTTTTATATATAATTATATAAATTATAGGTATTATATAATTTATATTATATATAAATAGATATAAATATGTCAGTTTATTGAAGAAACTATTAACAGTGGTTACAGCTATTAAGAGAATACAAATCCTACTTTACATTGTACACCTTTCTATACTATTTAATTTTTAAAACTATGTCCATAAATTACTGATATAAATTTTAGAGTTTCTTTAAACAAATCTCATCAGTGCTTTACCCTGAGTTCAAGGGCAAGGTCTGGGTATTGAATTTTGTTTAAGTCACAGTTTAAGTACACATTAGGCAATCAAAAAATGTTTGTGGATGAATGAGGTAGCTGATGTATGGAGAAGTAAAGAGACATAGGCATTAACTAATGTAACAATTAGCTTTAAAAGTGTAAAGATATTTTTGGAGTATGCAGGAAGCTGAACTAGGTTTCTGGCTGATGCTAGAGGTGGCAGTGTTAGCCATACAATGAAAGGCTGGATCCTGCTCTGAAGATCAGAGCATAGGTCTGAGCGTGGAAAAGTTCCTCAGCTTGGTTACAAGTCTGCTTCCAACACCTTTCTTCTTCCAATCTCGACAGTAAGGGCCAGGATATTTGACAGCCACCTCTCCACTGGAAAGGAGCTATAGAGGGGAAAGAGGCTTGCCTCCAGGAGGAAGAAGTACCAGAAGGAAAGAGACAGAGAACAGTTTCTAGAGATTTATTATAATCTATATGTTGCTTCTGTGGGTTTTGCTTTAAGACATACACACACACAGGCTCAAATATTCAAGAAAGCCCTGATGAGTTACAAATACAAAGATTACGGCCAACCCGTAAGAAGTCAAAGGCCCCATCTGTCTGCTCCTCTCCTATCCTGCCATCTGATATAGCAGCCATATCAAGTGCCTAAGGAAAAAAAATAAAAGATGAAGGAGGGACATCCCTAGCAGTCCAGTGGTTAAGACTCTGCACTTCCAATGCAGGGGGTGTAGGTTCAATTTCTGGTCAGGGAACTAGGACCCTACATGCTGCAGAGCACAGCAAATAATAATAATAAATCAAATGAAAGCAATGGAAGAAATTGAAAAAAAATGAAGGAAGACCCTTAATAAAAAGCTTCTAGGAAAGTTCAGAGATCTCAGAGGACACTGGTGCACCACCAAGGAGCTGACAAAGACACAGGTCTTGTCTTGTTAGAGTGACTAGAAGATAGTCACAGCTTCCTCTTCAGCTTTACTGGCACAGAAAGTTAATTACTTGTTGCATCAGCACTGTCAGAATCATCCTAGACAAAAAAGAAGACAGAAACACCTGTAGAGTCTGCAGTGGACATTTGTGTTCACAAAAGCTGCTCACTCCCTCTAACTCCCTCCAAAGTTTTCTTTGGTGATTTTCTAAATCACACAACTTCTAGGAAGCCTAACACAGAAGGATTTAAATTTTGGATGATAAAATAAGCCACTGGTACTCAATAAATAGCACTGTGCCATGAATCATTTAATGTGAGAATTGCAACAAATGCTATACTGGTTCTTAACAGCTATAAATATAATAAACAGGGCCAGGCCTGCTCTAAAATGGAGAAGCAGAAGAGAAGAGATAGAAAATAGGAAGGGCTTACTGGGGTTTTCTAAAGCATTAAAGAAGGACATATGACCTCTTGTGTCAAATTCAGATTTGGCTAACATGCACTGAGAATCATGATATGCTAGAGACTGAGACCTTTCTAGTATCTTTATTTTTAAGGACAGAAAGGAAAGTGAAGGGTTAAGGAACAGGCTTTACTTACATCCAGATCATCCATTGCAGGGGGTGGTCCCTTGGTGCTGACTTTTTTCAAAAGCTGGTGGGAAGAGAAGAGGAGTCACAAAAGATAAAGAGGAGTGAGGGAAGAGCAATCTGCATATCGATGAACCATCGGAAAATGGTCCCAGGCAAACACTTGCCCCAGTTTTAAAGCCCCTAACATAACACTGGAATAACAGGAGAAAAGTATATTGATCCCCTTTTTAAAAGGAAATTTAAACACACACACACACATCCTAACAAATCTGGGTTAGTGTCTATTAGTGTTTTTGCAACTTGAATAAATAGTAGCTGAAATTCTGAAACCAAATATCTTATGCAAGGTGCAATTTATTGGGAAACAGTGATTTATTTTATGATGTGAATTTTTAGACTGCATAGTTTGAGTTTCCCCTGAAGCTGTCTGGGTCATGAAAACACATATACACATACGTAAAGAAAACAGAAGAGAGAACAAGAATTACAGAAAAGCAGGAAAAGTTTTTGCCAAACTTCATCAGAATACAGGCTCTACTCTAAACAGTGAATGAATCTGTTTATAGTTTCACGAACAGATGCTACTGTTCATGAACAGTACTAAACAATGCACAAAACATATAAAGACGACCACACCAATGAGCAGCCTGCCGGGGAGCTCACATACTTCTGCCTAGCCTGATGACCCTGGAGGAGGGCATGGCAACCCACTCCGGTATTCTTGGAAAATCCCCATGGAGAGAGGAGCCTGGCGGGTTACAGTCTATGGGGTCGCAGAGTCAGACACAACTGAGTGACTAAGCAGAACACAGTGCAGTTGATGACAATCTTTGAGTGTGTGCAGAGGGCCGCCAAAAATGACTGAGATGGGCAGGAAATGGAATTACCTCTGCATAATGCTCCACCTGAGCCAGCTCCACTTCTTCATCCCCTTCCCAGTCTCTCCAGTTATCAAAGTCCACAGACAACCACACTGGCTGCAGGAAAAAGCACACGGAGTCCCAGGTCAGGAAGGCAGCAGCCGAGGTGCATAGATGAGTGTGGACATGTGTGTGGGAGCGTATTTGGGGGAAAGAGAGTCATTGGGGGTATCATCTTTCCCCTTTGACTAACCCCCCTCTGGGTTGCCATATCAGCAGCAGCAGCAGCAGCAAAGATTGACCAAGAACTTATTAAGTGCCAAGCACAATGCCAGGCATTGTAGGGAATGGAAAAGCATAAACTCTGCCCTCAGGAGCAGACTGAGTAGACAGATAACACATCTAGGAAGATAACTGTATCATAAGGCATCCTAGGAGTCAGCAAAGCTGCATTCCCCAGAATCAGAGACAACTCTTGGAGGCCGATATTCGAAGTTCCCATGCTTAGACAGGGAAAGAAGTTGGTCACTCATTCATTGAACAGGTGTTTACACATACTATGTGATTCCGAGGTTGGCACTAGGATTATTAAAACATTTAATACTGAGTCCCAGCCCTCAAGAAGCAAGTAGGGGGACTTCCCTGGTGGTCCAATGGTTAAGAATCCACCGTGCAATGCAAGGGACGCAGATGTGACCTCTGATTGAGGAACTGAGATCCCACATGCCACGGAGCAACTAAGCCCACCAGCTGAACTACTGAAGCCTGCGTGCTCTGGAGCCCATGTGCCTCAACTAGAGAGTCCACACACCACAGTGAAAGATCCTGCATGATGCAACAATGAAGATCCCACATGCCACTAGATCCAACACAGCCAAATAAATAATAAAAATAAATTTAAAAAGAGAAGTAGGGAAGAGAAATGTAAATAAATTATAACACAGTGTGGAAAGTGTGACAGTGGCTTAGGTAGGGGGTAGTATGGAGACCAGGCTTCTTGGGGTTTCAAGGCCTTGCCTTGAAGGATGAGCAGGGGTTAGATGGGCAAAGGTAGTGATGATGGAGAGTTTCCAGGAAGAAGGCACAGTAAGAGCAAAGGTATGGAAGTAAACAATAGCCTGGTGCATGAAAAAGAGCTTCAAGCAGTTTGCTGTGACTGAAATGTGAAGTCCAAGGCAGAGAGTAAAGTGGTGTGAGGCTGCAAAAAGGCAGGAATAGCCAAATCACGAGCTTATATACCACACTGCACTGTGGTGCTGAGACTTCAACCCAAACAGCAGAAGCTACACATTCGAATGCCTAAGCATGTCAGAGAGACAATGAAAAGGAGTGAAGTGAAGTGGAGCACATGCCCCATTTAAAGCTCAAACTCTAGGCATTTGAGAATTTAGATCAATGCGGTCAGAGTCTTTAGTTTCCAAGAGAGGTTGAGAATCTGGATTTTTAGGTGAAATCTCTTTTTTTTTTTTTAATCTCTACTTAAAAAGAAAAATCCAGGTCTTTTATTTTCTTTACACCTATCTTGCCATGATGTGTTGCAACAGTTCAGGCTCGCTTCCATTGGTTCTCATGAAATGTCCTTCTCTAAGCAGGGCAGGTGGGTGCTTCAGCTGAACTCAAGGACATTTCTCTTTGGCTTCCTTTCTTTTTCTGGCTTCCTTCCATATTTCTTCACACATTTCAGGAAGCTACCTCAGCTCTTAGAATGCTTAATATGCTTTTGGCAAGAATCCTGCCCTTAACTTGTTTGTTTATAAAGATGCCAACAGCATGCTGGGTAACACTGTACTCTTCCAGTGTTGCTATGTTCCAATTATAACATTTGTGGGGCATTCATTTTTGAACAATGCCCCTTCCCTTGAGATCTACATCACCTTTCTTGTAGATTCACATGTATGTGGCCAAAGGAACAACTCCATGTTTTCTAAAAGGCCTAGAGAACATATAGTGGGTGCCCCTCCCCTTTCCCCAATGGTCTTTTAGGTGAATTACTGGAACATGGTGGTTCTGGCCAAGAGGTGAAATCTCCACATTTTTAAATGTAAGTAACCCTTCAAAATAATTTTCAACACTGAGAAGACTGCTAAAACAAATCTGAGAGCCAGATCCAGCCAGCAGGGAGCCAATTTTCAACTTTTAGGGGAAAAGAAGCCACTGGAGGGTTTTAAGAGGAAGAGTGACAGGGTCAAATGTATATTTTGGACAGACCATGTTGGAAGTAATGCAGAGGGGCTGAAAATATGCAACAAACCTCACCCAGTAATGGATAGGTCCTGAATTAGGAAGACATGAAATCATGGATTCAAGACTATTTAGGAGAGGACTTGCCTGGGGATCTAATGGTTAAGAATCTGACGTGCAATGCAGGGGACCTGGGTTCCATCCTTGGTTGTGGAACTAAGATTGCACGTGCTGCAGAGCAACTAAGCCCTCGCACAGCTCGAGTTCATGCACCCCAATGAAAGATCCTCCCTGCAGCAAGTAAGACCTGATGCAGACAAATAATTGTTTTAAATGTATTTTTTAGGAGGCCAAATAGGCAGGACCTGGTGAGTAACAATGTTTATGGGAAAGGAGCCAAGGCTGATTCCCAGACCTAACTTGGGCACCTGGGTACACAGACAGAGCACATAGGAGAAAAAGCAGCCACTTCCCACACACCCACCTTGATATCCTCCTTGGTGAGCCTGGGCCAGGCCACCTTCTCCTTCCATTTCCTCACAAAGCAAGTAATAGAGCGGCCAGAGCGCTTATCCTGGGAGTCCTGCCAGATAAAGAACCTCACTTTTAGGGTCTGAGGTTTAGAATGAATCTCCAGTTTCCCAAACAGCTTTCCCATCCAGTCCTTACTGTTCCACCCCACCCTTACCTTGCAGTTCACCTTGGCATAGAACTCAATCTCATTGTAAAACTCCACTCCATCAGGATTCTTGCAGCTGAGGAGACAATACAGCTAAAGAGATGAGGAAGGCTGAGAGTCGGGGGCAGCAGAGAAAGCAAAGATTCCCAGGAAGTGGGAGGTGGGAGGGTGGCGGGGGTTACCTGAACACAATGCGGTGGTCTTCGATGAGCACGTGGACATCCGTGCTGTCCTCAACACAAAACTCCATGAACACATACTTGGGCCTGTCGTACCACAGGGTCCGGGCATGCTGCCTGAAGAGGAGTTGAGGTGGGGCTTCATAGCCGTGTGAGAGGGAAGACTGAGGGAATTTGGGAAAGGTGGAGGGAAAACACAGTGACGTTTTATGCTACAGCACGGCCAAAGCGGGGCCAAATAAGACTGAAGGGAGTGGAAGGGGGGCTGACAGGACTGGGGTATGCGGTGAGGGGGAACCTGAGAAGAACCGGAAAAGTGAGAGAGTAGAGAGGTAAGGGAGACATGGAGAATATTCAGGTCACATTTCTCTTCACCACCCCAAGGGTACAGACCCGGAGTCCAGGGTTCCCTTGGGACCTCACAGAACCTGGAGCGCGCAGAAAACATAGAGAAGCGACTCTCTAGTGAAAGAAGCGGCCAGAAGCACTTACCGTGCCATGGCTGCTCCCGCTGCCCTGTGGCGTTTGGAGTCCGAGGCAGGGGCTGCTATCTTTAGATCCTGGGGACGCCCCCAGCAGCTGCCTCTCCTTATATGGTCGGGGAAAGGGTTTAAGAGGAACGGGAAACGTGGCCTAAGCCAAGGGATTCGCATTCTAAAGGGTCTCTGGGAGAGCATAGTCCCTGCAACCCTTCACATCTCGGGGTCTCCAGAAATATACACGTTAGGAACAGACGACCCGCCAGCCGGAACCAGAGGAAGGGCTAGAGGTCGATACACACGGAAGGACGTGTCCTGGCTTCATTCACCTGTTTCTCCAATGCTCAGTATACTCTGTGCCCGACACAAACCAGGCACTCAATCGAAAAAAACCATTGACCAGAACTATACACCGAAGGAAGTCTGGCACCGAAAGACGTCTCAACTCGGTGACGTCTGAGCCCCGCCCACCGCTCCCCGGGTTTCCCAGCGGGCGCTCCGTTGCCATGGCAGCAGGGGGGCGCGGTTGACGTGCGGCGGCGTTTCCTGAAACATGGCGGCTGTCGAAGCGGCTGCGGAGCCGGTAACTGGGCTGGCGGCCTCTGGACCAAAGGCGAAGGACGAAGAGGAGGAGGAAGAGGAGTCGCTGCCGCCGTGCGAGGCAGTGCGCTGGGCGCCGGTGGGGGCGGTGGCGGAGGCCGGGCCCGGAGCGGCGGCGTTCTCCGAAGAGGCGGCAGCCGAGGAGCCCGGAGTGGTCCCCGGCTCCCCGCCGGACTCCCCCGGCCGGACGCTACGGCGGCTGCGGGCCGAGAGGCGGCGGCTGGACTCGGCGCTGCTCGCGCTGTCCTCGCATTTCGCGCAGGTGCAGTTCCGCTTGCGGCAGGTGGTACGCGGGGCGCCGGCGGAGCAGCAGCGCCTCCTGCGCGAGCTCGAGGACTTCGCCTTCCGTGGCTGCCCTCACGTCCTCGGTTACGGGGTCTCGGAGGACCCCGCCAGCGATGATGGCGACAGGCTGCCGGGGGACCGACCACGGTTACGGGGCGAGGACCAGGTGAACAGCTGGGGCCAGGCCCCGAGGGATATGGGAATAGAAGGCTGGGTGGGTGGCGGTGTTAACTCTAACGCAGGTAGCATTGGTGAGGAGCCGGCTCGTCTAGGTGGGTATGCGTGTCCCAGAAGAATCCCGACAGAGACCGCACAGAGAGGCCTGGGAAGCTGGTGATGAGAGGTGTCCACCAAAGGTGTGGAAAGACATGCAGGTGTGATGACATAAAAGGTAAAAGAGAGATGAGCGAGGAGAGTATTCAAACAGTAGAGCAACCAGCTGAAACAATACTGCTCCCACTCACCTTGTTATCGCTTCCAGTACCTAAGTCTTGAGCATGTTTGCTGATAGAGTACCCCGACACTGGGGATTGAGAAAATTGGTTAGCGAAGAGCAAGCGAATTGAAATCCATGGAAATTTAGATATACTCCTTATCTGTGCTTTCCCAGAATCTAGAGAATGTCTTTTATCTTCAGGTTCTCCTGTCTGTGTGAGAGCTTTGGTAAACAGTAAGGTCTCAGTAATTGAAAGAAACACAACTCCTGATTATATAAATTTACTGATGCTGGTATTTTAAAAACTTCTTCCCATCCTACTTACTAACTAGATATTCTAAAGGAAGCACCTTTGGCAGCTATGACAAGATTCATTCAGTTAGCCGACACTAAGTACTGAAAATTTGTATGACATCCACAGGCAACATTTCCCTTCAGTTTTTGAACCGCTGTAAGTGAATTCTGTAAGTGCAGAATTGTAGATAGCTTGTAGCTTGTTGGGCTCTCTTTTCCCCACCTTTTTGTTGTTTAGGTTACAATCCACATGTGGCTTTCTTCCCACTAAAATTGGTTTTAGCCAAGACGACTTATCAGTAGCAGATATTGACTTGCTTATTTTAATCTAAATGTTTCCAGTACAATCCTGTGTTTACTGTACCACGCTTCTCTCCACATACCCACAGCTCTTTGCATAAGTCCCCAAATTGCCAGGCTTTTAAGGAACAAACAGGATAGAATTATTGTGGTTGGACTCTGTTCTGGAGTGAGGAGCACCAAAGGTTCAGTGTGGATGTTTGGCTGTTCATTTTTACTTTTGGAGACACAGTACAACTGAAAAACACCTGAGAGATCAAAACACCTGATGTGCAGCTGCGATCTTATGTGCGTATATTGACACCTGAACAAGTAGCACCAAAGTGAGGATGTGTTTGAACTAAATGATATAGTATGTATCAGTTTCAGTTTTTCAGGTTTTTTAACCAGTATTTTAGCTCACCTCATACTGGAAATTATTTGTTATTTCCTGTCTTGCACCAAAGCTCATTGTTCTCACCTGGTAAACTTGTTTGCCCATACTCCTGTAGATAGCGTACTCAGTAATTACCATCGCAGGTGAAGCATTCAGCTGGTACACTCATGAAAATGGAATCAGGATCTATGACTGGTTTCTTTCTTCCTGGATTTCATAGCTTGGGAAGGGATACAATGAAAACAAAATTTCGCTACTTCTTTCCATTTGGGCCAGTTAAACAACTTTCACCATAAGAGTTCAGTATTTAGTTATGTGTCCTTCTGAACATGATTGAGTTCAGTGACATACAGCAAATGTATACTGAGAACCTACACCGAGCTTGGCCCTGGGGTACAATCAAGGCCTTTGCCCTTAAGGAGTTCATAGAACTGAGGAGACAGACTCATACATGGATCTTTATAATGTAACATGAGCTAGTGTACAAGTGTATATAAAATACAGAGGATGTGGTTGGTTCTGCCTGGGGAAATCCAGGAAACCTCTTAAAGGATATCTAGGCCTTCACTCAGTGGGGGAGAACAAGATTCTAAGAAAAAAAACTACGACTTTGGTAAAGGATTGGAGAGCAATATCCCCCAAGAAAAGGCTTGCTTTTCTATTGGACAAAACTAAAGCAAGAGGCTTGCTTTTTTAAGTAGCTAAACAAAAGTTAATTTGTTATTTTTCCTTTGTTCTCTCTCATACCTTACTTCTGGAGGCCTTGGTAAGTACCATTTTAAGATTAAATTTAATATCCTATAGATATCTAGTTTAAAATGCAGGGTTACACCTGCAAATAATTTGCTGCCTTTGCTTTTTATGCTCAAGAAAGACAAGGGAGGGGCTTCCTGGGCAGTCCAGTGTCTGGGACACTGCAATTCCATTGCAGGGGGTGTAGGTTCAATTCCTGGTCCAGGAACTAGGGATCCCTCACGCTGCACAGGGCAGCCAAAAACAAAAAAAGTAAGGCAAGGAAGAACCCGTTTTTGAGAACATATTGGCAAGACTTTACCTCTCCAAAAAGTTTTTGTTTTGTTTTCTTGCCATACAGTACTGCATCTGGGATCATAGTTCCCCCACTAGAGATTGAACCCACACCCCCTGCAGTGGAAGCACAGATTCCTAACCACTGGACCACCAGGGAAGAACCTCTCCAAAGGATTTTTAAGCATTTAAATGCAGAAATGACCTGGTGACAGTGAGAAAAGGAGTCACTGTTTAGGGGGAACCTTACCAGACTTTTTTTTTTCCTTTTAAGAAAACTTATTACCTTCCCATCCCTATTACTTGGCTTTAGATTTTTTTTTTTTCACTGCCTTAGGCACTAGCATTTATTCATTTGATTTTGCAATATATTGGAGGAGCTTTGACCTTAAAAAACTAGTTATGAGTTACCAAGCCTTTCTCTACACCCTTACCTCTAGATTCTCTTGCACAATTTGACTGCCACAACTGTGCAGGAGAATTGGCTATGGAGGATGGCATGTTCAATTCCTGGAAGGCTTCCTGGATGAAATAAATTGTGTCAGTCTTAATTAGAACTTTGTGGGGTGGGAGGGGGAAGCAGTGTTAACAGAAGGCTCCATTGTGTTCATATCCTATTTCCAGTGAAGGAGAAATTCTTAAAGAAAACACACATTTAATATATTCTCCCAGATGAAAAAATATATATGTATTCTCCCAGATGAAATAATTCTTTTTGAGTCTGTCTCATGAATTCTGTATTTCATTTGGGTTACTTGGGAGCATTTTACATTTTTCTAGTCATCATTGGCTTAAGAGGATTCTTAATATGTCCTGACTTTTTCTTTTCCTGTGAAATTGACCTAAATCTTTTTCTTTCTTAGAGTGAGCAGGAGAAACGGGAACGTCTGGAAACCCAAAGGGAGAAGCAAAAGGAACTGATCCTGCAGCTCAAAACCCAGCTCGATGACCTGGAAACATTTGCCTATCAAGAGGGCAGTTATGACTCCCTTCCACAGTCTGTGGTCTTGGAAAGACAGCGGGTGAGGAAACCCTGAGGCTCCTCCTTTACTGCCTCGGGTTCCTTTGTCCCTTCCCAGCTTGCTCACCCTCGGCCTCACCACTGGCCCAAATCAAAGGGAAATGTTGCTACTACCTGGGACCAGTCTTTATTCACCCGTGGAAACACAAGTGCCAAAGCTTTCTAATATGATGATGGAGTCTTTTTTTTTTTTTTTTAAGTGGTGGTGGTTATTATTAATAGTCATATAATAATAAAAACAATAATTTCTTTCATTTGATCATTAAAACCATTCTACTTGTGCACTTCATAGTAGTTTTATAAACTAGTTTTTTCCCCCAGCACCCATTGAGAAATATTCCAGGACTCCTGACTTTAATACTGTATATATTAAAGCAACACCTGGGCAGACAGGTAAATCTGCTGGTTAGAATACAGCCTCCCCTATGTGTTTGTCTTCCTGGAGCTGTGATGTGGCTTTTTTTCTGGCAGAGCTGGAGTTACACATTACATGGTTTTCACATTGTTTCTCATATTGTCACTGGGGTATTTTGGCTGTAATGTGCCTGGGTGTTTTGCAGAGCTTTTCCTTTAGTTGCCTAGAATAGGGCGAAGGGGGATGAGAAGGACTAGAGACTAGGGTAAAGCAGTATTTATTCTCTTGGAGGCCACAAGGGAATCTACTTATGGGGCTTTTGGGATCATCATCTACTTTGATCATTCATACTGTTGTTCTCCTGAGTGAAAGTTACCTGGCCAGGTAGAAAATTTGCAGCGAGAAGAGCCATTCTGTTGGAACCAAGTGTCCTTATGTCTATAAGAGAAATAAAGGGCCTGTGCCCTCACCTTGATCAGCAGTTGCACCATTTTTTTCACAAATTTGATTTCCATTTAAGGGTAGGAGGGAGGCAACTAGTCAAGATTCTCCTTCTCCCTAACCCTGTCCCTCAAAATTCCAAAGGGTGTGCTCATGGCTTTGGTCTTGGCAGGTGATCATTGATGAGTTAATAAAGAAACTGGACATGAATCTGAATGAGGACCTCAGCTCATTGTCCACTGAGGAGCTTCGGCAGCGTGTGGATGCCGCTGTGGCTCAAATTGTCAACCCAGCCCGAGTGAAAGAACAGCTGGTTGAGC